CTGTGAAGATTAAACTTTGAACCCTTAAGCAAAAAGGGTCTTGCCCCGGAGTCTTGGATTTTCCAGGGGAGCCTCTGAGTGCGTATGTTCCTCTCAGTGTGCACCTGGCACTAGGTCAAGTCTTGTGCTTAAAATTCTTCCCTGCGTTATTGAGTGTTGAGAGTCAGCGAGGCCACCACTCTTTCTCTCCCAGCATGGAAATCTGTAAGACCTTGCAAAAAGGAGCTGGTGGAGAACACCAATGCTCCAGATTAATTAAAAAAAAAAAAAAGACTTTTCCAAGGGCCGGGACTAGGTCGTGTCCCCACCAGGTACATGCAGGATAGACTTCAAGGTGCTTTTATGACCTGGTGAGCTTAGAAGCATGTCTACTTACTAACCTATAGAGGAAATGAAACAGGCTGTCTTTGACTTGCTCTTTAAAATCCTGATCCGATAAACACTGATGCACAGTGGGAGGTGAGCTGACCTGCTCCCTCAGCCCTGCACCGAGGCTGAGCTCCCTGGGGGTATCACAGTCACGCAGTGGCCGCCAGGTGATGAGTTGTGAGAAGTGTCGCTGGGGTCGTTGCGCGTGGGTAACACTGTGTCTCTCTGCCTCGAGATCTGCCCCCTGGAGGAGAAGACGAGCGTTCTGCCAAACTCCCTGCACATCTTCAACGCCATCAGTGGGACGCCCACCAGCACGCTGGTGCACGGCATGACCAGCTCGTCCTCCGTGGTGTGACCCCCACCACGTGGGCCACGGGTGGGGACTTGCTCTGTCATTTGCAAACTCAGGACGATGACTCCAAAGCTCATCCCCAGGCGTGTGCCTGACGCGGGGAGACCGAGCACAAGAAGGCGCCAAGAGGATGGAAGAGTTACAGGAAATAAAGAGCTGGGTAATTTCGCAGCATGTTTCCTGGAGCAGTCCTCCTCAAGAGAGCACTCATTTTTTTTTTAAACCTCGCTGGCAATATTCAACGTTTTCATTGTGTCTTAACAGAGGTGTGTGGTGGACACTCTTCGGCTGGAGTTAAATGTTATTCTTCCTTACAGAAGTAGTATTAAAAATATATGGCCTGGAGAAAACACATGTTTCGGAATGTACATAGCACTGAAGTCGAGGCTGGAGGGTAACCCTTGGCCTCTAGGCTAAGCTGGAAAATCTTGAAAATATTTTTTTTTTCCTGTGGCACATTCAGGTTGAAAACAAGAACTATTTTTGTGACTAGTTTTTGATGACCTAAGGAAACTGACCATTGTAATTTTTGTACCAGTGAACCAGGAAAGTTAGTGCTTTTATACTCACTCACTTGCATTTAAGAAATAGGAAAGCTTAAGAAACTATGGGAGCTTAAAACTAGTCAAGCAGTTTAGAACCAAAGGCCTGTATTAATAAACACAACTATGCTAAACATTTAAAGGAGTGTAGTATACTGTTATGTACATAGAGTTTGTTAATACAGTCTTGGCATTGTGTACATACACATATGACATTTCTACATTTTTAATACATCAGCTTCTGCATAAAGTTTAATTGTGACAGATTTGTGCTGTTCTTAGTATATGCAACACACTTGACTCTACTGTTTTATTCTTGTACATAAATGCAGTGCAGTATGGAGGTGTATACAGTCTTTGCTATGTTAGGTTTATAAACCATTTTAAAAATTTCATCCATTTGCCAAAGTGGTGGAGTATGTCACTGATAAATCATAAATCTTGTGGGGAATAGTGGTGTAATGTAAAGCCTTCACTGGGTTATATTTTCTTTTCAGACATTAATTGAGTAATTTTATATTTGGGAAAAATAAAGGTTTTTAATTTTATTTAACTAGAATCTCTGCCCTGCTGTAATTAAACATTCTGTACCACATCTGTATTAAAAACAACATTGCTGATTTTCCGGTAGCGCGTATTGGGTATTTATTGTCGGACAGCCTTAAGAGGGGGCAGGATATTGAAATATTTGGGGGTGAAATAATGTGGTATATGAAATTTTGCTTAAAAATACCTGAGGGGAAAAAAAGAGGGTACGGATTTGAAACAAGCTTGACAAATGTTGGTTGGTAATTGCGGAAGCTGAGGTTGGGTGCATGGGGACCGTTGTACCCGTGTCTCTGCCTTTGTCTAAGTTTCCATGGTACAGAATTCAAGAGGTGGACTGGGGGGCCAGATCTGCCAGAGGACTTGGATCAGCGCTTTGTCACCCTGCAGTCTGGCTCTGAATTCTGCTGGTTGTTCCCAAGGATGTGTAGACACATTAATTCCCCTGTCTGTTCCCCTTCCACTCCTTCATCACCTCCCTGGTTGACTCCTCTGGGACAGGTAGTCATTTATCCCAGCAGGGCGCCCTGGCCAGGTGAGCACACCTTCTTGGGCCCCTACAGCATCACTAACACTGGACCCAAGTCAAGTCATGGCTCGGACCACAGGTGCTGGTCTTGCCTGTGACGCACCCGGGGCCCCAGCCGTGAGCCACTAAGCCCTAGAGAGTTCCAGCGGCAGAAGGAAAAGGAGTCTTTCCACAAGAAATAAAATAGCTGCTTCTCCTACTTGGGGGGTTTTGGAGGCTATCTTTTTTCATAACCAGTGGAGGAAAGAAAGCGTGACACTGTGTACATCTTGAGCACACAGAAGCCAAGGATCTTCTGGTGTCTTTGGAACATTCTCGGGCAGTGGGCAAGGCAGAATTTTACAGATGGAGTCAGGGTCATGAAGGAGAGATGTGAGGCATTATGACAGCTCACTAGCCTGCAGCCCATTCACTAGTGGATCCGGACTTAGGGCTTGAGAAGATTCTCTATGTTTGCCCAGAGGCTGACATCCCAGCCCCGTGTAATAAACCTTGACTCTAACACCAGCAGGGAAGAGGTCTAAGAGTTTGTCTCCTGTTGCTGGGCTGGATTTCCTCATCGTAAATGCCTGATTTAGGGGCCATAAAATTCAAGTCATCATGCAGTAGGATAAATATATGTCTAGAAAGAGCTATCTTGCTATCTCGTGGTTAAACTTGGAAAATAATTTGTACAGATTTCATGTCAGATAAGATTCAGCTTGGAAGGTGACCAACCCTTGTTAATTACAACAGTGGAGAAAGGAGCCATCTCTAAGTTGAAGACATCTACTGTGGACGCTGCACCGAAACACATTCACATATGTTAAAAACCTTATTTAGTTTATGTATAAAATTTTAATTTTGGTATAAAGTAACCCATTAAAGTATCTGTTTATTGGGAGAAATTGTGGGGTTTTTTAATATTCAGAAATCTTTATTGCTATTTTTCAGTAAATTCTTAAATGCTTCCCATAGATGATCTTTATTCTTTTTCGGGGGGTGGGGTTGCTGCGCTACGTCTTCATTCTTTGCATGGGTTTTCTTTAGTTGCGGCAAGCAGGGGCCACTCTTCATTGTGGTGTGCAGGCTTCATTTTGGTTTCTTCTCTTCTTGAGGAGCACAGGCTCCAGGCACACGGACTTGAGTAGTTGCAACATGCAAGCTCACTAGTTGTGGTGCGTGGGCTTACTTGTCCTGAGGCATGTGGAATCTTCATGGACCAGGGATCAAACCTGTGTCCCCTGCATTGGCAGGTGGATTCTTATCCACCAGGCCACCAGGGAAGTTGTATTCTTTCTTTTTTTTTTAGGTAAAATATGAATAACATGAAATTTGCCCTTTTAACCATTTTTAAGTATACATTTCAATGGCATTAAGTACATTCTCATTGTTCAGCCATCACCACCATTTATCCACAGAACTTTTCCATCTTCCCAAACAGAAACTCTAGACTCATTAAACGGAATTCCCTGTTCCCCCTCAGGGAAAATTGTTTGAAGTAACTTTGGAATTAAAACACTGTTTATTACCTTATCAAGGATATTTGTCACCTGGGAACTAACTAACACTAAATAGTACACATAAATAAAGCCAGTCCCTTACATGGAGAAAGCTGTTGAGAGAAGGGATGCAAAATTAAAAGGTGACTTATGTGATAATTATCAGGATTTATATAACCGTATGACAGACTTACTCTGTGTAGAAAGTCCATTCAAAAAAAATTTGATTTCAATCAACAAGATTGTTTGCTTAAATTATTGTACATCCACACAGTGGAGTACTGTGCAGCTATAAAAAGGAGTAATATATTTGTTTGCTGCTATAGAGTGTATTCAAGATACCATAAGTAAAAAACATAAGATAGAGGAAAACAAATAATGTGCTATCCATTATTTGAGAAAGGAGAGATAAGTAAGCAGAGATAATTGGTTTTCTTTAGATGAAAGGGAAAATCAAAAAAGTTTTAAGTTGTTACCTATATGGGAGAGGGAGAATGATATATAGGGGACAGAATTAGAAAATTAACCTGTCCAAATATAATTTGCTTTATAGATTTGGCTTTAGAACCATTTGAATATATCATTATTAAAATAAAATTTTAATTCCTAAGAATTGAAAGCAAAATGAAATAAAAGAACATAACCATATATGTATCAAGTTGACAACACAGATACTTAAGAACTATTTCAAATGACTTTAAAATACAGGAATTTTACCATCTAACCCTAGTGAGATATGCCCTCGGGACAAAAGTAGTAGCAACAAATCAATAAATGATTGGTTAATTTAAAATTTCAGTAATTGTTTTGTTTCGTGGAAGCAGTGTTTTGTTTTTGTGAGACTATATTGTCATTCTGAAACAGTTGTATGTTTATTGCTGGAGAAAGTAAATGAGTGATTGTGTGGATATCATTGGGAACCACATTTTTGGCATGGGAGAAAGAACACGTTGCATCTGTAAGCCAAAATAGGTTAAATTAAAGCCCTTCAGTTCTGAATTTGATATGGAAGTACGAATTTTAGTTCCATCAGATATTTATCTTAAATATACACATATTTCCTAGCTTGAAAAGACCTAAAAACAATGACCAAGCCAATAAATAATGAGCAACCCTGCGTGCCCAAATTGTGGTCTCTAAATAGCTTTATTACCAAGAGTATCCAGGCTTCCTGGAGAATGGCTGACTCCAGTTTTAGGGCAGAAAATGTCCAGGGTGAGTCTGGAGCTTCTTTTCCTACCTGACATCCGGAGGACTGGCTAAGATACCACAGACCCCGTCAAGAGTATTTTTAAAAGCACCTTTTAGGTAGACGTGGGGTGAACATAAACAAGAAAATAAAGCAGTGGGTTAAAATTGTAAAATTAGTCCATTCATTCCTGATAATACTAGAGAAATAAAGAAAACTGGGAACAATCAACGGAGTTAGTATAACTAAGAAAGACCAAGAGGTGACATGTGCCTCGGAAGTATACACCACGCTCTGTGACAGAGTCCTGCCAAGAATTCTAACACAGAGTCCTGGTGTCAGAAACCAACACAATATGGTAAAGCAACTATTCTTCAGTTCAGTTCAGTTCAGTCGCTCAGTTGTGTCCGACTCTGTGACCCCATGGACTGCAGCACATCAGGCTTCCCTGTCCATCACTAACTCCCGGAGCTTGCTCAGACTCATATCCATTGAGTCAGTGATGCCATCTAGCCATCTCATTAAATGAAAAATAAATTAAATCCCTTAATTAAAACTAAAACCTCAATTAAAAATAAAATTCCATTTTCAATGAAAAAAAAAAAAAACCCTAACCTGAATCTGATCAAGTCTGTAATAGAGGGCACAGAGGAACATGTCAAATGGCACCACAGGGAATGGAATCAGAAAAATCCAAACCTATGGAAAAGCTCTGTAGATCAACCAACCTGGTTTCTTGAATAACTTACAAGAATAAAAGAGATGGAGAGGGCACTTACATGCTGAAAGAGATTCAGGGTTCTCTTGATATGGTGTATCCACCATATAAAGTAAATAAACGTTTCCCTACCCCTTACACTAAATACAGCTAAAATCCCTGGAGATTATGCATTAAAAAACAAGCATCAGAAGACTCTTAAAGGAGAAATGAAAAGAGATCAGCTGGAGATCTTGGGATCCAAAGAATGATACAGTGGTTAAGTCTCCCAGTTTTCTTTTTGCTTCATATTTCCCATACTGGAGCTGAAGAAGACAGCAACACAGTAACATATACAGTAACAGACAAGAAAAAAAAATCAACACTGCTTCACACCCAGTATTATAGCTATTAAAACAAACGTTTTGAGAAGGATGAAGACATTGAGACACTTATGCATTGTTGGTAGGAATGTAACATTGTATAGCTCTTCTGGAGGACAGTATGATGTTTCCTCAAAAATTACACACAATTACCATACGATCCAGCAGTTCTACTTAGGGGGATATGCCCAAAAGAATTGAAAGTAGGTACTTGAACAAATTGGTACACCTGTGTTCATAGCATAATTCACAATAGCCAAACAATGGAAGCGATCCAAGTGTCCACTGATGGATGGATTGATGGATAAACAAACTGGTGTATACATACAGCAGTATGTTCTTCAGCTTTAAAAGAAAGGGAATTCTTGTCTCAACATGGAGGGACCTTGAGGACATTTATGCTCAGTGAAACAAGCTGATCACAAAAGGACAAATCCTGTGTAATCCCACTTGTATGAGATCCTGAAGCAGTCAAATGTATAGAGACAAAGTAGAAGGGTGGTTACTTGGGCCTGGGAGTGGGGATGGGAAATGGGGAGTTAGTGTTTAATATACAGAGTTCCAGCTGGGCACGATGAAAATGTGGGGCTGAATGGTGGTGATGGCTGCAAAGTAGCGTGAATATACTTGGTGGCTTAGACAGTAAAGAGTCTACCTGCAATGCAGGAGACCCAGGTTCAGTCCCTGGGTCGGGAAGATCCCCTAGAAAAGGAAATGGCAACCCACTGCAGTATTCTTGCCTGGAAAATCCCATGGATGGAGGAGCCTGGTGGGCTACAGTCCATGGGGTTGCAAAGAGTCGGGCACAGAAGAGCGACTTCACTTCACTTAGTGTCACAGAACTGCACTTTAAAAGAGTAGTTTTTATGTTATATGTTTTTAGCCAAAGTTAAAAACAACCAAAACTCTGCTCTCTGTAGCCAAAGGAAATTGAAAAGGGCAGTGTAGCAAGACAGAAAATTTTTAGGCACTAGTGGTACTACTGGAGCATAGCCCCGCCCGCACCCACATCAGCAATGGAGAACTACACACCCACCCTCTCAAGGGTGGAGCAAGGTTTCAACACACCTGCCAGGACGGAGTCAGAGAAGGCCTGATGCAAGCCAGGACTCTCATCCATGCTGCCTAGCAGGAGTCCCACCCGTGGAGACCACCAGGGAGCCTGGACTTGACAGCAAAAGCATGACCCATAAAAGGACAAATTGAATTTTTTTTTAACTTTAGGGGCGTTTTTTTTTTTTTAATATTATTTATATATTTAGCTGTACCAGGTCTTTACTGTGGCATAGGGGAATCTAGTTCCCTGACTAGGGATTGAACCTGGGCCCCCTGCATTGGGAACACAGTCTTAGCCACTGGACCACCATGGAGGTCCCTCTTTACTTATTTATTTTTAATTGGAGGATAATTGCTTTACAATGTTGTGCCAGTTTCTGCTGTAGAACAAGATGAATCAGCTGTAAGTATACATATATCCCCTCCCGATGGAGCCTCCCTCCCACCACCGCCACCTCCCACCCCCTCCCGCCCCTGCACCATAAATTGAATTTTAAAAGTGAAAACTTTTGCTCTGAGAGGAGCCTGTTAATAGGGTGAAAGCACAAGCTACAGACTGGGAGAAAATATTTGCAAACCAATACATTTAACAAAAGACTAGTATCTAGAATATTTAAAGAATACTCAAAACTCAATAGTTAAAAAAAATCAGAACATGGGCCAAAGCTACGGGAAGAACATTTGGCTGGGGAGGACAGGGACACCACCAAATACTGGTGAGACTGCAGTAACTGGATCGTTCATAAATTGCTTGTGGAAAGGTAAATTTGGCAGTTTCTTAAGGAGCTAAGCATGTCGTCACCTGTGATCCAGGCACTGCAGTCTTGGGCATTCATCCCAGAAGAATGAAAACTTCTATTTATTCACTTAAACGTTACACAAGTGTTAACAGCAGCTTTTTATACAAATAGCTCAGAATTGGAAGCAACCTAGAAGATCTTCGACAGAACGCGGTGCACCCAGGTCGTGGAGGCTACTCAGTGGCAGAGCGGAGTGAACTGCAGGTGCACACGCCGCCTGTCAATCTCCAGGAACTATGCCGGCAAAAAGAGCTTAGCCCCCCAAGTTATACACGGTATGATTCTGTTCACATAACATTCTTGAAAAGACAAAATTACAGAAGTAGAGGGCAGTTTCGTGGTTGCCAGGGGTTAAAGATGGGGTGGGATGGGAAGGAAGTGAGAGGGCAGCCCAAGGGGTACCTGAGGCTAGTGCTGTTGCAGGAAGGGGGATCCCTTCCAGGGCCTGAAGCTGGGCTCTTGTCTAACACTCGGAAATGAATTGTCCGAGGAGACACACATGCTGACAAAGCAAGAGCTGTCATTGGAAAGGGCACCCAGGTGGAGAGCAGGAGGTAAGGGAACCCAGGAGAACTGCTGTCGCATGGCTCGCAGTCTCGGGCGTTATGGTGATGGGATTAGTTTCCAGGTGGTCTTTGGCCAATCATTCTAATTCAGAGTCTTTCCCGGTGGCGCACGCATCGCTTAGTCAAGATGCATGCTAGCAACAGGGATTCTAGGAAGTGGACAGACAGGCGGTGTCTCCGTTTGACCTTTCCCAAACTCTTCAGGTTGGTGGTGGCTTATTAGTTCCTTATTCCTTATCAGGATCTCCTGTCATAAAACAACTCATGCAAATGGTTACTATGGTGCCTGGCCAGGGTGGGCGGTTTCAATCAGTGTGCTTCCCCTAACAGTGCTGCTGGTCTGGTCCTGTCTCCTGCCCAGCCAAGCCCTCTTACTGCCCGAATGGCCTGTATCACCTTTGGTGGGGTCATTTGAGCCAAGACCACATCTGGCATCAAGCAGAGTGTGTGTGACCTTGAGCTGCCCACTCAGAGGGGGCCAGGCTCTACCTGGAAATGGGGACACAAGTGCTGTCACATGGTTTGGTGAAGTAAAGCTGGCTTCACGGTGGTAGGAAAATGATGAAGTTGCCTTTTCCTTGCCCTGGTCATCATCTTCATAGCTTTATCCATGTCTCACATTCTCCTTGTCACCATTTCCTCGTTCTGACAAGCCAGGAGAAGGGGGTCCCCATGAGCACAGGTAGAATTTGGATGCACATTTGTCATTTTCCCGGCCCTCTTAGTTTTCAACCAACTCAGTGCGATCTTGGCCAAGCGAGTCTCTGGATTATTCCGGCCTTGGGACAGAGCCTGAGAACTTGGCCTTGAGTCTTGCTGTCAACCACACCATCCCCTTGGCCATTGTGCCCATCAGTTCCCATTCCCTGCTTTCAGCAACTGGTGGGCTCCAGGTTACATCTTCAGTTCTTGAATACCTGCATTGCTTAGTATTCACAGGAAACAGTAGCCACTGTTCCTTGGAGTGATGAGCTGAATAATGCTACCGAGCAGGAGACCATCCTGTATTATGCGAGTGGGCTGATGTAATCAGAGGGAGGTCCTTATAAGAGGGATGTGGGGTGGGGGTGAGAGTCAGACAAGGTGATGTGATGACAAAGCAGAGATTGGGCTGATGCGCTTGCGAAATACAGGAAGGGGCCCCGAGCCAAGGAGTGTGGGCAACCTCTTGAAGCAGAAAAAGGCATGGAAACAACTCTCCCCTGGAGACTCTGAAAGGAACTTGCCCTGCCAACACCTTGACTTTAGCCCAGTGACACTGATTTCAGACTTCTGACTTCCGGAAGTGTGAGATAATAAATCTGTGTTGTTTTAAGTCCCTAAGTTGTTGATGTCTGGTTTCAGCAACAATGGGAAACGAATGCACCTGGTATTCCTTTAACTAGCACTCACTAGGAACTAACCAGCAAATTATCAATACCTGGCCTGCACTTCCAGAGACCATGCAATCCCAAAGCCTCCCTTCTCTTCCAAAGGTCCCTGTGTGCTCTGTGGGGACTTGCTGGCCTCAGATGGACCGTGCCG